AAATTGTAAAATATATTTCTCATTTTTCTGTTATCTTACATTTAAGAATATTTGTATCTATCTTTAATGTGTCTCAAATTTATTCATGTATATGGTGTGTTGGGGATCCATATTTATTTTGTCCAAAATAGGTTATTATTCATTGAGTCGAATAGTCTGTTTTGGATGATTTGAAATGCCACATTGATCATATATGAAGTTCTTATAGGTGCAGGAGCCTGTTTCTGGGTTTTCTAATCTATTCCTTTGACCTATTTGTTTTTTCTTTTACTTTTTCGCTTCCCTCCCTCCCTCCTTCCCTCCTTTCCTTTCTTCCCTCCCTTCCCTTCCCTCCTTCCCTTCCCCCCCTTCCCTTCCTCCCTCCTCCTCTCCCTCCCTCCCTTCCCTTCCCTTCTTCCTTCCTCTCCTCTCCCTTTCCCCTCTCCTGCCCTCCCCTCCCCACCCCCTTCCCCTCTTCTGCCCTCCTTACTCCACCCCCTTCTCCTCTCCCCTCCCCTCCCCTCCCCTCCTCTCCTCTTCCTTCCCTTCTCTTTTCTTTTTTTGACAAGGTCTCATTATGTTTCTGTTGTCTAGGCTGGCATGCAATAGTGTGATCACAACTCACTACAGCCTTGGCCTTTTGGGCCAAAGTGGTCCTCCTGCCCCAGCCTCCTGAGTAGCTGAGATGACAGGGATGTGCCACCACATCTGGCTGACTTTGTAATTTTTGTAGACAGGGTCTCCCTATGTTGCCCAGGCTGGTCTCAAACTCCTGGGCTCAAGCAGTCCTCCTGCCTCAGCTTCCTAAAGGAATCACAGGTGTTAACCATTGCACCCAGCCCTATCTATTTATTTTACCAGTGTAATACAGATTTAATTATTGTTACTCCTTAAGACACATCTATCAAGACAAGTCTTCCCTCCTGTTTTGTTTTTTTCTTTAAAACTTTTAATTTTTATAGAGTCCAGGTCTCTTTCATGTTTTCCAGGTTGTTTTTGAACTTCAGATCCCAAGTGATCTTCTCATCTGGACCTCCCAAAGTGCTGGGACCAAGGTGTGAGCCACCACATCCCCCCTCCTTTTTTTTTCTGAATTGTCTTGAGAGTTCTATCCCATACATTTTAACATCACCTTATTAATTAGCTTGACTAATTCTATCAGAATTTTTATTTGAATTACATTTAATTTACAATTTAATTAGGGGAAATGACATTATAATATTTATCTCCATTTATGTAGGCCTTTTCTAAAATATACATTTTATTGTGCGTATTTGAGGAGTACAATATGATTTTATGGGATATGAATAGCTAGTACTGTAGCTATGGTTACTATAGTGAGGTAAATTGACATATTTATTATCTTATGTAGTTACACATTTTTGTTTGTTTCTGTGGTAAGAACAGGCAATATTTACTAGTTTAGCAGGAATACTAAATCCAATACAATTTTATTACCTATAGTTCTTATGTTGTACATTAGATCTCTAGGCTTATCTTACATATCTGCTGCTTCATATTCTCTAACCTACATGTCCCCATTTTCACCCCCTTTCCTGCCCCTCATCACCATTACCTTTACATATTTGATCTTTTTTTTAAAAAAAGATTCCACCTATAAGTGAGATCATGGAATATTTTTCTTTATTATTTCACTCTTATAATGTCCTTCAGATTCATCAGTACTATGACAAATAACAGGATCTCCTTTTTTTTTTTTTTAAGACTGAATGATGTTCTGTTGTATGTCTGCGTGCATATTTCACAATTTCTTTATTCCATTGATGTCCATCCATTGATGGACACTTAAATTGTTTCCACCTCTTGGCTATAGTGAATAGTGCTGCAATGAACTTAAGAGTGAAGATCTTTACGAAGCGGTAATTTAATTTAATTTGTGTATGCCCAGAAGAAGGATTCCTATGTCATGTGGTATTTCTATTTTCAATTCCTTTAGAAACCTCCATACTATTTTCTGTAATGGCTGTAACAGTCTACATTCCCACCAACAGTGTATAAGGGTTCTTTTTTGTCCATACCCTGGCCAACATTTGCTATCTTTTGACTTTTTAAGAATGGCCATCTGTTTGGGAGTGGTATCTCATAATAGTTTCATTTGCATTTCCCTGGTGATTAATGGTGTTGAATACCTTTTCATATACCTTTTGGCCATTTTTATTTCTTCTTTGGAGAAGCATCTATTCAGGTCCTTTGCCCATTGTTTAATTGCATATGTGGATCTTCCTTTATGTCTGGCAATGGTTTTTTTTTTCATAGAATTCTTACATATTTCTTTTTAAATGTATTCTTTGATATTTTATTTTATTTTAATTAAAAAAAATTTTTTTTGAGACAGAGTCTCATTCTGTCGCCAGGCACCAGGCTGGAGTGCAGTGGTGCGATCTCGGCTCACTGTAACCTCCGCCTCCTGTGATCAAGCATTTCTCCTGCCTTAGCCTCCCAAGTAGCTGGGACTGCAGACACGTGCCACCATGCCCAGCTAATTTTTATATTTTAGTAGAGACAGGGTTTTACTCTGTTGGCCAGGATGGTCTCAATCTGCTGACCTCATGATCCGCCTGCCTCGGCCTCCCAAAGTGCTGGGATTACAGGCATGAGCCACCGCACCTGGCCTCTTTGATATTTTATAACTTTTGTTAGAATTGTGAACAGATTCTTTTTTTCTCATTGGATTTTCAGATTGCTTATTGATGATAACAGGAAAGAGACTGCTTCATTTTATTCTTGAATCTAATTGCCACCCTGATCTTTTTTATTCATTCCAATGGTTTTTCAGTCGTTTATCTTACATTTTCCTGGGAAATGATTATACTATCTATTTTAAAAGAAAGAATGAGGGTGCACTGCCCTTATTTCAGATATATAATTCTCTTATTTTACTTTAAAATGCATTTGACAATGTATTCTAGAATAACGTTGAAGATTGGCAATGGTAGTAGGATCTATGTCCAACTTTCTCTTAATTAAAAATGTGCTTTATTTTGATTATTAATTATGTGGCTTGTTATAGATTTCTTTTGGACGTATCAGTTTATAGACTTTTTCTTCTCTTTCTTGATATTCAACAACAGAAATGGTTGTTAAATTTGTCTTCTACTGCTTTTTCAGCACTTATCAATGTGTTTATAAAGCTTTTCTCCTATTTGTTAATGAATTGTATTCATCTTTTTCCTAATTTTGAACTATTTTTAGATGACCAGTATAAACACAAACTAGCCATGTTTTTTTTATTTTTTATGATTTTTTTTAAAAAAGCACATTTCAGCTAATTTAACCTCTCTCTACACATGCCCATAGTTTTTTCTTTAATTTAAAAAAGTTTCTGTGCTATTTATAGGAAGAGGTAGATAATTTTCCATATTTTTCTATGTATTGGATAATTTTATACAATGATCCCCTAAAAATGTTAAGGTTTTTTTTATTGTACTTTAGGTTCTGGGGTACATGTGCAGATCATGCAGGATTGTTGCATAGGTACACACATGGCAATGTGGTTTGCTGCCTCCATCCTCCCTACATCTGGCATTTCTCCCCATGTTATCCCTTCCGATCTCCCCACCCCCCGGCTGTCCCTCCCTTGGCCCCCCGAGTGTGTGATGCTCCCTTCCCTGTGTCCATGTGTTCTCATTGTTCCTCAGCTGCCTATGAGTGAGAACATGTGGTGTTTGATGTACTGTTCTTGTGTCAGTTTGCTGAGAATTACCATTTCCAGATGAATCCATGTCCCTACAAAAGACACAAACTCATCATTTTTTTATGGTTGCATAGTATTCCATGATGTATATGTGTCACATTTTCCTTGTCCAGTCTATCGTTGATGTGATTTGAGTTGGTTCCAGGTCTTTGCTATTGTGAACAGTGCTACTGTGAACATACAGGCGCATGTGTCTTTATAATAGAATGACTTGTAGTCCTTTGGATATATAACCAGTAATGGGATTGCTGGGTCAAATGGAATTTATATTTCTGAGTCCTTGAGGAAGCACTACACTGTTTTCCACAATGGCTGAACTAGGTTTTGTTTTATTTCTTGTTTTTTGTTTCATTAATTTATGCTTTTATTCCTTCTGTTCAATTATTTTATGTTTTTCTGAGTCTCTTGACTTGGAAGTTTTGTTTATTTATTATCATTCTCATTTTTCAATATCACACATTTAGCTTTCAACTCCCAAAGGCATGTGTGTGTGTGTGTGCATGTGTGTTAGTGTGTGTGTGTGTTTTTGTTGCTATTTCTAACTGGTTTGATAATTCAGTTTAATTTTTTTATCCCATAAATTATTTAGAAGTACTTTGTTTTTTCTTAAGTTGATAGTTTTTATGATTAATTTATACTTCTATTTACTGCAGTCTAAGAATATGGTCTATATGATGTACTTTAAAAAATTTATTGAGCTTTTATTTATATCCTCATACATGGTTAATTTTAATAATGATTATGCAGATACTTGAATAGAATCTCTATTCTGTTTATCAGGTCCAAAGTGTTATTTATTTATAATTTACTTACAATTATATAAATATGAAACCATTATCATATATATTATCTAAACTTTCTGCACCAGAGGTTGGCACACGTGTTTTGTAAAGAGGCAGATAGTTAGTTTGTTAGGTTTTGTGGACTGTAAGGTCTTTGTAGCAACTACTCACTCTGAAGAAAAGCAGACATAGACAGCAGGTAAATGAATGGACATGGCCAGATTTGACCCAAGGACCCCTGCTCTATATTCTAGTTTATTTTTATTTTTTGGCAATAACTGACAGGAGATATAATTCTTTTTTTAACTTAGATGACTAGGGAGAAATAGAGACAAAAGGCAGAGAGAGCTTGTTTAGATTTTTGGTCTAGTACATATTATTTTTAAAAAATACTTTCTATCTCTGATTTTAGCTTTATATCCAAGGGATTCATTATTAAAATGGTATTTTCAGTACTTTATATGTGGCTTAACATTTATTTGAGTTTGATTTGTTCATATGACTTTTTTGTTTTCCTTCTACAGTGAACCCCAAGAGTCAAAGGTGTCACCATCACCTTCTAAAACCTCAGCAGCTGCTCAGTTGGATGAGCTCATGGCTCACCTGAGTGAGATGCAGGCCAAGGTGAGTGCAGTTCAGATGATAAACAGGGCCCATGAGGTAACCAGTTTATCTTTGTGAAACTCAGTTCTGCATTCTCCCACTTAGGAAATTTCCTGAGTTGTCATTGCTTTTTCTAGACTAAATGTAATTCTGTGAATTAACCCATCTTTGTACTATGTGTTATTTGGACATCAAAAAATCATATATAATACAGACTTTGATCTCAAGGAGCTAGAGTGTGCTTGGCAAAATGAGGCATAAGTTTCCATAACATTTATAGAATAAAAGCCAGGTGGTTTGCAAAAATATGTGGAACAAATATGAGGGATGTAGAGAGATTATGGAGATTTAATCAGGGAGATGGAGTTGAAACTTAGGATGGACTCTGAAGAACAGGCAGAGTTTGGACTTAAAGAGATGGAAGGAAAGGTGGTTTTAGTTGCAATAACCCCTGAGGGCAGAGGTATCTTAAGGCTTGATGATGTGGAAGGACTGTTAAAGAGACCTGACTAAGCAGAACAGAGGAGGCCAGTGAGCAAGCTGAGACACAGAAAGGAGATCAAAGTGTGGCTCTGACAGTAGGAAGGGTGAGAAGTCCCAAGCCCATATTGAGATAAAATCTGCCTCTTTGTTCAGAGTGGTGAGCTCACATGGTCTGACATGGAATAGAAATCTCAGATAAATGGGCTTAAAGATTTACTAAAGGTAATATAATCCAGAATCCTTAAGGCAGAGAGAATCCAGCCATTTTAAATCTGGTTGGAGGATTTGATAGATACTCATGAGGTGACTATGAAATAATTTCAAAGCAGCATATAAAAATGTGTATGGTTGGAGAGGGCAGGGACCTTATCTCTATAGCTTATCTTGGGAATCCCAATGCTCAGCACAGAGCCTGATACATTGTGAGCAATACATATTTATTAGAGAGATGAATAGATAAACATCACGAACAAGTTTTCCTTAATGACTAACATCCTTTGTAGGCTAGTCAATGTCTACAATAAAGCTGGGTAGATTGACTCGTGCTGTATATCTGAAAATACTAGAAAAAATTACAGTAGATTTAATTGTGTTGTATTTATAATTGATTTAGCATGTGTCTTGGTTTGTTTAAATTTTTAATTTATAATGCCATCTTTTTTTTTTGTATGGAGACAGAGTCTTGCTCGGTCACCCAGGCTGGAGCACAGCTGCGTGATCTCTGCTTACTGCAACCTCTGCCTTCTAGGTTCAAGTGATTATTGTGCCTCAGCCTCCTGAGTAGCTGGGATTACAGGCGTGTGCCACCACATCAAGCTAATTTTTGTATTTTTGGTAGAGACAGTGTTCCACCATGTTGCCCAGGCCGGTCTCAAACTTCTGAGCTCAGGTGTTCCCTCTGCCTCGGCCTCCCAAAGTACTAGGATTACAGATATGAGCCACCCTGCCCAGCCCTATCTATCTTTTGAATAAGCTGTATATTCACATTGTAAAAAAATCAAAAGTACAAAAAGCTTGCACTGAACTGTTTCCTTCTCAGGTCTGCACCCTAGCCGTCCAGTTCTGTCCCACTAGAGATAAGCAGAATTTCCTGTCTCTTCTATATCTGTTCAGAAATATGTAAGTGAAGAGATAGAGATGTAGATGCAGATATATTGTTGTATTTTTACTTATTTTTCATAATTAATGTCAGTCACCCTTTCAGACCTTTCAGACACTAACCTTCTGAACACTAAACTTTTGAACATTAACTAACATGTGTTAGAGGAGGAAGGAAATCTGTTAGATGATCAAAATGTCTTGAAGGAAAATGAGCGTTTTGATTGGTGATAATGTGATGTTTTAACAGGCAGTAAAAGTAAGATAAGTAGAGGTCTTAAGACAGACAGTAGCAGATCACATTCAGGAGACTGAAGAGCCCAGCTGGCCTGGAACAATGGAGACCTTTTACAGCATAGTTTCCATAAAAGATGAGATTGGGAAAGATAAAAGCGAGGGCAGTAGATGGGAGGCTTTGAATGTCTGTCTGATGAGTGCTGACTTGATGTGGAGGCAATGGAGAGCCATTGTAGTTTTCTGAGGAGCGAAGTTTTCGGTAGACAGATTGTAGCAGTAGCACAGCTGGAAAGTAGTAGAGAGAGCCGGAATCAGGACACGAAGTGATGAAGGGTAAGTTAGCCACTTTTTTTTTTTTTTTTTTGGTAATTTGAGTATCTTTCTTTGAATGGTTTGTAATAATTTTGAACTTTTGCTTCAATAATTCCAATCCATCAGCAAGTCTTATCTGACCACTTCTCACCACCTTCTCCTATAACACTGATCTAAGTCATTATCTGGTCATCTCCCTGTATTCACTCTTGCTTGTCAACACTTAATTCTCCACTCAGCTACCACAGGGATCCTCCAGATTCCTTCACTCCTGTGCTTGAAATCCTGCAGTGGCACCATCACCTTGTAATAAAACCCAAGCATTTGCCATGAAGTCCTTATGGAATCTTTGCCTCTCTCTCTGTCACCTTCTCCTGCTGTGTTCAATCTCACTCCCTCTGCTCCGGCCCCACTGACGTCTTTGACTTTTCTTCTAATGTGCCAAGTTGTTTTCCTCCTCAGGGCTTTCCCTCCCGCCAGAATGCATTTCCCATAAATGTCAATATTTCTGAGTCCCAAATATCTACTGAAATTTTACTTCCTTAGAGGGGTCTTCTTTGATTACCACCTCCATCTAAATCAATTCTTCTCACCATCTTGCTGTGCCACTTTGATCTCTCCAAATAACTTATCTCTATCTGGCATTACAGCATATATTTATTTGTTTAATTATTTATTGTCTATCACCCACAGAATGCAATTTCAAGAGGCCAGACACTTGGCCTGTCTTATCCATTGCTTTAATCCAAGTACTTAGAGCAGCGACTGGCACAAACCCAGGAAGTCAACAAATATTGCAGAATAGATGAGTAAAAGGGAGATGTGGCTAATTTTTGAACTGGGGTCATCCTAAGATTTTCAAAGGGTGTCATCTTTATGTACTAAATTTTCTACATTAAGAAAAAATTTACAAATATAAGATTAGTCAGATTTCATTTGGCCTGAGGAGTTTAGAATGAAAGGGAGATGAAAATATTTTTATTGGTGTTAAAATTTTAGATTCTTCCAATGCCTTGTAGGGAAATTGGGGAAAGGCTAAGGCATCAGTCAGTAGAGGTGAATTTAGAGTCATAAGATGCTAGTGAGAACAAAAGTACATGAGGCTGATTCTGTTCTTGGTTTTTCCCTTGGGCCAGGTTGCAGTGAGAGCAGATGCTGGCAAGAAGCACTTACCAGACAAGGAGGATCACAAAGCCTCCCTGGACTCAATGCTTGGGGGTCTGGAGCAGGAATTGCAGGACCTTGGCATTGCCACAGTGCCCAAGGGCCATTGTGCATCCTGTCAGAAACCGATTGCTGGGAAGGTGAGATGGGCTCAAATTTTGGTCCTCCAGCCCTCTGTGTCTCTCTCTGTCTCATCAAGGATTGCTCTTTCTCCTTATATTTTAAGATATTTTAGTTATCATTAATAATTACTAACCACTTACAGTGCTCTGGCCACTGAGCTAAGTACTTTACAAGTATTTCCTCATTGAATGGTCACATCAGCCCTTCAAGAATGATTGTTCCCTTTGTAAAGATAAGGAAACTGAGGGCTCAGAGATGTTAATGGACGCACCCAAGGCCTAGTAAGAGGTAGAGGTAATATCTGAAACCAGGAGACTCTCTCCTGAGTTTGAATTCTTAACCGCTTTTTTTGTACTGCCTTTACTGAGAGGACCTTTCTCACTGCTCCCTTTGTTCAAACATTCCCAGTCTAAATTGATTGATTACAATTTCCAGCTGAACTCAGCTCCAAGTCACAGCTGCAAACTCCTGTTCTGCATCATCCTTCACCAAAGCTATGATAAAAGGCTTTGAGACCTAACTCTATGGGGTATGGAATACAGTGTTCAAACTAGAGGAATAAAAACTGTCATTTGGCCTTTTCCTCTTCCAGGAGTGCCTTCCACGCCATGACTACAGTTACGGCTTATTTTTCATCAATGTGCTCTAAGTTGTTTCTGCCACCCTCTGTGGTAGTGGAGTGGTAGTGAACGTTTACAGGCTTTCATCATAGTAATCAGTCAGGAAAGTGGGCATCCTTTTACAACCACTCTATCAAGCACAGACAACAGATTGCCTCGGTGGAACCTAGGTCTAGGCTTCAGTGTTGTGTAACTCCAGAGGGTGTTGTCTCTAAGGGATACAGTGGGAAGAGTGTTCCCTAGAGTTGTGCAACCTACAGGCCATAAGGCACTCATCTGGGCTCCTATGTCAGGCTTCCTTTCACTCCACAGGTGATCCATGCTCTAGGGCAATCATGGCATCCTGAGCATTTTGTCTGTACTCATTGCAAACAAGAGATTGGCTCCAGTCCCTTCTTTGAGCGGAGTGGCTTGGCCTACTGCCCCAACGACTACCACCACCTTTTTTCTCCACGCTGTGCTTACTGTGCTGCTCCCATCCTGGATGTAAGTGAATCCCCACTCCCCTTCAGCTTTTAATCACTTGTTTAGAACCAGGGTCATGGTTTACAACTCCACATCATCGTAATATCTGTGTGTTCCTTTTCCAGAAAGTGCTGACAGCAATGAACCAGACCTGGCACCCAGAGCACTTTTTCTGCTCTCACTGTGGAGAGGTGTTTGGTGCAGAAGGTATGACCCGACCTGGGAGGCTGCCTCCCACACCACAGTGGGAGTTATAGGACAGCAACACTTTTCCTGGTAGTCACAGGAGTCCTAGTTCCTATCACTACTATCAAAAAGTACCCATTTCAGTACTAGATGCCATCCCTCCCTGCCTTTCTTTAACATTTATAAATGAATGTTGGAGAAAGGTAGGCAGTCCCTTTCTCTTGGGGATAAAGTCCCTTTCTCATCCCCAAATACAATTCTCCTTTCCAAATTCTTTGAACTGTTTATTCTGTTATTTACTTAAGTGTTTTAAATAATAACTTGTATTGTTATGAATTATTTTATTTTTTCAGTTTTAACCATTATATATTGACTGTCTAGCAGGGAAGATGAAATTTAAAAATGTTATTATTACCCCACTCACTCCCAAAAAACTTTCCCTTTCCTGTTTTTTCAATGTATAATTATGTCATAATTACAGGTTAGATCAGTATTCAGTGTGTATATGTTGACAGTCATAGGCTACCACTGACAAGTAAGCCATTTAGCAAACCGGCTACAGTAGAGTCTGGATTTTGGAGTCAGACTCCCTGGTTCAAATCTGGGCTGTGATATTTATTAACTATATGATGTTGTTCGAGTCATTTAACATCTCTGTACCTCACTTTCCTCATCAGTAAAAAAGGCCTAATGAGATTGCCTACCTTATAGAATTGTTATGAGGATTTAGAGACAATTCAAGGATAGTATTTAGAACAGTGCCAAGCACATGGAGGTATGTAATGTTAATATTATTATCACAGTGTCCTTTTTGTATACATTCATGTTTTCCTAAAGTTAACATTTGAATCCTTTTTAAAATTAGCTTTGTTTTCTTTGTATTTATCAGTAAGTTAGGAACAGAACTGCAGAGTTATTTTCAAAATGTCCAACGACATCTGGCAATAAGTCAGTTTCTTTTCTTTCTTTCTTTTTTTTTTTTTTTTTTTTTTTTGCTGGAGATATCCCTCCAGGTGACTTTCCTCCTCCTGATTCAACATGAAATGATTTCTTCCTGCTGAATAGCAGTCATTCTGGTTCATTAACTTAGGATTATATCTAGAAATTACTCTTGGGAATTTTTTTTTATTACTTTTTTCTTCAGATCCTCTCTTTCCTGGATCCCATGTCTTTGTTTTATATGTGTTACCACCTTTATTTTGGTGGGTCACATCCTATAGTAGCTTTCTGAGAATGAATTTTTGAGAATTTGAATATCTGAAAATAGTTTCATTCTGTCATTGCCCTTAAGTTGCCTGGGCATAGAATTCTAAGTGGAAACACTCTTCCATCATAATTCTGAAGACATTACTTCACTGTCTTTTAGCTTCCATGGTTGGCATGTTTTTATTAAGAATATTTTATCCCTGATCCTTTCTATATGATCCATTCTTTCCCCTTTGTACATTTTTTTGTGTGTTTTCTGAATCATCTTTTTTTATTTTGTTATTTTTATGTTTATTTTGAACAAATATGGAATCTGAAAGCTGCTTTACTTTGTCTTTTCCTGTCCTTTTGTAAAAACTCAGTGGGGAAGGTTTTCTCCTTTCTTATAACTAAAAACTTGGCCAGTCCTCTGTCTTTTCTAATTACTCTTAAAAAACAGTTCTAAATATAAAATCAATTTAAGAAACAAAACACAAAAACGAAGCCCTTAGGTAATTCAGTCTGTGTAATAGTTAAGGCTTCTAACTCTTTAAAAGTGACAGCCACTCCTTCTCCCTTTTAGGGCCTTCAAGCTGCAGGAGGCGAGAATACGGGTATGGCCTTTCATCTCTGCTGACCCACACTTGGCATCCACCACCTTCACTCTTATTGCCAGTCTTGACACCTGCCTGCTCTAGGATTGAAACACTAGGGAGGATGGAGATGAGAATGGAAGGCAGGATGGTCTAACTTGTCTAAGATTGTTGTTAAATTGGCTTTATGATCTCCAGGCCCGGCCAATGTTTAACTCTGACTTTTTTCCCTGAATTCTTTTGTGGATTAAGACAGGTCCAACAGTGAACTCTCGATTGCCCTTTACATGTCTTGACTGGCTGTTCTCTCCTTATCATGCTTCGTTGAGGATTTCTTTTTTTTTTTTTTTTTTTTTTTTTGAGACAGAGTTTCGCTCTTGTTACCCAGGCTGGAGTGCAATGGCACGGTCTCGGCTCACCGTAACCTCCGCCTCCTGGGTTCAAGCAATTCTCCTGCCTCAGCCTCCTGAGTAGCTGGGATTACAGGCAAGCACCACCATGCCCAGCTAATTTTTTGTATTTTTAGTAGAGACGGGGTTTCACCATCTTGACCAGGATGGTCTCGATCTCTCGACCTCGTGATCCACCCGCCTCGGCCTCCCAAAGTGCTGGGATTACAGGCTTGAGCCACCGTGCCCGGCAAGGATTTCTTTTGTAAAGATTATTTTTTCAAGGGGTTTTCATTGTTCCCTCCTAGTAACTCCTTAGAAATCATTAACATGCTTCCAGATCATCTCTTCCTCTTATATTTTCACAGAAGGACCATGAGTAACTTGCTCTTTTCTCTAACAGTCAGTGGAATTACAGTTAATTTTTAGCTGCATCCTTCTATTCAGCTGCCATAGGCTCTTTCAGCTGGACTCACCTATGGACTTTTTCCAGGGATGACTCTGATACCATCAACTACATCTCACTAATGCCAAGGCATACATATCCAGCTCTCTGGGTTGTTCCACTAAAGTCCCTCTTTTGACCTGAGATTATCAAGAACTAAACCACATCTTTCTTGGTGGTGATGGGGCACTCACAGCACAGTTTTCTTCAAAGGAATCCCTCTCTCAGTTTTTCTTTTTCTTTACCTGTTTTATATCCTGAGCAAGAGTGAGGAATTTCAGAATTGTACAAATAGTCTTTGGCTGCCTATTTGGAGGGATGTTTTGCAGTTCAATTTGGAATTTGATATCTATTACATCTTGGTGCCTTATGGTTATTTACACTGGTCTTTGCAAATGCTGCTGATTCATGGTTGTCTGCTACTATTTAATAATGAGACACTAAAATGCTAATTGCAAGCTCCATGGATATGGACAGAAATTGTTGACTGGTAGACTTGACTATATGGTACTCAGGTAAGATGTTCTGGCCATTTTGTTGAGTGACCCCTGAATATGATAATCTTACGTCTTTTCTGTTGAGTCAATTATGCTAAGAGACGTTCTCTTTGCCAACATTCTGAGATTGAAAAAGAGGATGGGGGAATGGGCTTTTCACCATTCAGCATGTCAGCTTTTACTTAATTCCCATTTTTCAGTAGAGAGCTTGACTCCTTTCCTCATGGTGTCCAGTATCTCTGATCATTGAGACTCTTATTTAATATTTACAGAAATAATCACTGTATCTTACGGTAAGATAGGGCATCTGACCTTCTAATGGCTCTTTAGACTTTCAACCAGTCCCATTTCTAGCCTTGAAGAATACCTTATGAATTCAGTTCCTGAGCCCCTCTGATGTTATGACATTCGAGATGGCTCGATTTTTATTGGTGTCTCCCATCTGTAGACATAAGTTCGGTTTTCTTATTTATGTTAAGCCAGTTTCCACTCTTATAATCTACTTTAAATTCTTGAAAATTTAGTTAATATCTCATCTGGTGGCATATCCTTTACCTTTTTCTCTTTCCTTATGACTCTTTATAATTTACATAATTCCTTAACTGTCATGTTAATGATGTTTCAGGAGGAAGTAAAGAAAATCCCATGTGTTCAGGCCCTTTACTAATATGGAGATATTCCTAAATATCAGGTATACTATTATGTATATTGTTAAAAAATAATTTATTTAGTGCCACCTCAGTCTTGTGAGAGCAAGTTTATTCTACATTTTACCTAGTTACAGATGAAATTAGTGAGTCTCAGGTAGATAGCATGATTTTCTTAAAGTCATACAGTGAGAAAGTTGAAGAAGTGGGATTTCAATTTGGGTATCATTTCTGCCCAAGTTTCAGTCAAAAGGCAGCTGTGATGTTTCATAAAAAACATGGAATTTGTTTTTTATGAAACATCACAGCTGCCTTTTGACTGAAACTCAATTCCTCTTCTGCTGTTGGATCTGTTTACTTTCCTGGTACCAATACAATATGCTTTATTTGGCAATAGATGCAGATAGAGTGGCACTGACAGAATCCACTAGCAAAGTGCTTTGTAGTAATTTGCTTGTTCACTGGAGCTTGCTCAATGCTTTTTCACAAATCATTAGGTATTTCATTTCTAGATGGTATTTTACCTAAGCAGCATTTTTCATTGAGACTTAATGAAATCATATTAAAATGTGTCACAGTAAATATATATTGTACTGGTATCCATAAAAGTCTGAGAATTAGTTGAGTAGAACAGTCAGCAAGTGAATATTGCCCACGGATTAATTTGATGGAGAAGTCCCCTGAGAGCAAAACAGGACACAGGTACATTTAAAGTAGAGACATAAGTTAGATACACACACACACAAATACCCATTCCATTGGGTGACCAGAAAGCACCATGAAGGTAGCTAGTTCTCATTTTCTTGACTCAGGCGCCTTCTAGACAGACAGGGCTGATGTGGTCATTTAAAGCTTTATAGAAACAGGAAACAACACTTAAGACATATTTATACATAGAGTCACATGACCAAAAGTGACATTTATCTATCAGAAGCTCCACTTGGGTTGTATTTTCCTTTATATGCCTGGCTTTCTGTAAACAGGTCTCCTGCCTTATGGTCGGTCCATTAATTAGGTGGCATCCTGCCTCACTCCAAGTTACATGTCACGAAGAGTTTCCATAATGACAGTTTAACCTCTGAGCCTTCTGGGAAATTAAATTCATCTGTGTTTATTCATCAGCTCAGAGAATCCCTCTTTATGGCTCAAGTCACTGGGGCTTAGCATCCTCCTGCAGGGATGAGCCCTTCAATGTCTATGTGTGTTTCTTTTTAATTGTTCATTATCCAGCCCATGCAGGTGCTCTCTAATTTCCCTTGTGGCTA